TGCGGGCCGGGCGCGGGCTGCGGGCAGCCGCAGGAAATCCGCGCTAGGCCACAGGCCCGGCGCCGGCCAGCGCGGAGGGGAAGGTGCCCTCTGCGTAGACAGGTCCAGCGTCAGGCGGATTCCTGGTGTCGGGTGGCGCCCCGCGTTCGGGTGTCTATATATGGAAACCCACCCCGAGCCCTTTCCAGCGAGCCAGATCCTGCGCCTGGGACAGCACCGGCGCTCCGCCTAGGCCTCCTGGGCCCGCCGCACCTTCCCATTTTTCAGTGTCTCTTGCACCTTCTTACCTGCTCCCACCTCTTACCATAAAAACGTGATGCTAGAGGCTGACATATGTTGTTTCATCTTTATATAACCCAAGCTAGGTGTTATTTCTCTCCATTTTACAGATGAGATTAAGAAACAAATTTCGGAATAAGCTCAGGTCAACGTACTCATCCTGTCCTCAAATCTCTTCCTCCCCTGTCTGGTCATTGAATGGCTTATAATCATCATCCCATCTATCCCATTTTTCTCCACCTGTGCAAAAGGCTAGAGCCCCTCAGTGAGGAATAGCCCAGTTTGTGAGTCAAAATTATCAACAACCCCCCCCAACAAATTGCTCACAAAAGCAACAGACCCCTCAATAATTGATTACTTGAACAATCTGCTTGAAAATTTTCGGGCTCTAATGACTAGTGGATTTATTCCCCCTCCTCCGTTAGAGCGTCGATCACTCAGAGATCCTCATCTCCAGGGAAACTAGAGTGACACTGAGTAACTGTCATCTCCTGCCCCCCATGTCTATTAAATCGGGGGCCCTTTGGGCAGGGATCTTTTTTCCTTCTGTCTCCCTGTAAGCCCCTGGTATTGTTCTGGCACCTCAGGAAAATGCAATAAACGACTGTCTTTACACAGTTTGATCATCTTTTCAGTTTACTTGGGGTAGAAATTTTTCCCTCAAATACTCTGATAATTGGGGCAAAATTGGATTTTTTAGCTTGTTGTCCAAAAACTAATGTATTTATTTAGATTTCCTCACTATGTATTTGATTTCCTCATATTTTTTATTTTTTCAAAAGGAAATCTAGCAACCCTTTTTCTCTTGTCCTCTTCCCTTCTCCCTGTCCTGCCTGTCTTTTGTCACCCACCCTTGCCCCTGCCCTCCCCCCAGGTCCAGCATGCCAGCAAACAGATCAGTGCTGAGAAGCAGTACAAAGGGATCATTGATTGTGTGGTGAGAATCCCCAAGGAGCAGGGCTTTCTTTCCTTCTGGAGGGGTAACCTGGCCAACGTGATCCGTTACTTCCCCACCCAAGCTCTCAACTTCGCCTTCAAGGACAAGTACAAGCAGCTCTTTCTGGGGGGCGTGGATCGGCATAAGCAGTTCTGGCGCTACTTTGCTGGTAACCTGGCTTCCGGTGGGGCAGCTGGGGCCACCTCCCTGTGCTTTGTCTACCCGCTGGACTTCGCCAGGACCAGGTTGGCTGCCGACGTGGGCAAGGGTGCCGCCCAGCGTGAGTTCAGTGGTCTGGGCAACTGTCTCACCAAGATCTTCAAGTCTGATGGCCTGAGGGGTCTCTACCAGGGATTCAATGTCTCTGTGCAGGGCATCATAATCTACAGAGCTGCCTACTTCGGAGTCTATGACACCGCCAAGGGTGAGAGAGGGGCGGCAGGGGGTGGGGAGGAGGAGGATGCCTGGAGAGAGGATCCTGCGGGATCTGCAGCTCTCAAAGGCCTTTCTGTTTATAATCTCTGGGCTAAGCTGAGGCTTCTGAATGAGGAGTAACTAAAGGATTCTCTGTGACCTCTACTGAAGTAAACTCTGGGCTTGAGCTATTCAGAGAGGAAGGAGGAGGAGCCTGACTCTCTCTTGACACAGCTGTACCAGTTCCTGAGTTTAACTTGAAGGAACTTCAACATGCCCTGTATACTGAGCACAACACTGGCTTCCCTGGATCTGAGAGGGCAGCACCCAGCTTCTGTTAGCTGCTTGGTTTCATGGGAGGCATCCTCAGGAGGGACAGGCCCTTCCCGAAGGGCAGGGCATGACGTTGGAGGCGCAGGAGCCTCTTCTTCCCCACTTCCCCCACCTGCTTTTGTGTTGAGCTGCTGAGAGGAACCACCTTACAGCCATTTCACGTCTTCTCTTTGCCCACAGGGATGTTGCCCGACCCCAAGAATGTGCACATTTTTGTGAGCTGGATGATTGCGCAGAGTGTGACGGCGGTCGCAGGGCTGGTGTCCTACCCCTTTGACACCGTTCGTCGTAGGATGATGATGCAGTCTGGCCGGAAAGGGGGTAAGCCTGAGCTCCACTGACCTCAATCTTCCTTATTTTTTGCCCGGGAAGAACACTATTAAATGCTTTTTTCAGTCTTCACTATTCTGAATTATTTGTCAAAATTATTTGATAAGCAGGACTTAGGGAAAAAAGATTATGATTAATTCCCAACATTCTCAACTATTCCTTTAGGGAAAACTTTTTCTTTTCATTAAAGAGATGATAAGAACATCAAAAATGAGACATTTAGAGGGGAACTTAACTAGATATCTAGTATTATTGAAACCTTAGGCCATCTTCCCTCAGAACCTGGGTGCAGAAACAAGGAAAAAGAATTAGCTGGTTTATTTTAAAGGAGTTATTGCTTCTCTTAACTAGTTGCTACAAGTGGGAGAGGGTGTTTTAGCTGAGTAAAAGATGCCTGAAGCAATCTGTTGTGAGAAAAAGTTGTGGCTTCTGGTTGGCTGAAAAATATTAAAATTGCCACTTTTGAAGTCAAAAACAATACATGTATTGAGATTCAGCTCTTTACTCCACAAGTATAGTCAGTATGCTTCAATTAAAAAAACCAAAACATAAAAAAAGGCAAAAAACAGTCAAATGTTAGTTTCATATGGTTTAACCTAATAGTTATACCTTTTTATTTTAACTGTATAATCTTGGGCAGTATAGTCTAAGACTAGGCCTCAGTTTTCTCATCCATAAAAAAGGCAACCGTGTAGCCTTATACTCCCACTCCACCCTGCTCCCTTCCTGTTTTACAATTTGACTGTCTGTGAATGTGTTGGTTAATAGCCCCAGTTCTTCACTGATGTTTTAGCTGGTTTATTTTAAAGGAGTTATTGCTTCTCTTAACTAGTTGCTACAAGTGGGAGAGGGTGTTTTAGCTGAGTAAAAGATGCCTGAAGCAATCTGTTGTGAGAAAAAGTTGTGGCTTCTGGTTGGCTGAAAAACATTAAAATTGCCACTTTTAAAGTCAAAAACAATACACGTATTGAGATTCAGCTCTTTACTCCACAAGTATAGTCAGTATGCTTCAATTAAAAAAACCAAAACATAAAAAAGGCAAAAAACAGTCAAATGTTAGTTTCATATGGTTTAACCTAATAGTTATACCTTTTTATTTTAACTGTATAATCTTGGGCAGTATAGTCTAAGACTAGGCCTCAGTTTTCTCATCCATAAAAAAGGCAACCGTGTGGCCTTATACTCCCACTCCACCCTGCTCCCTTCCTGTTTTACAATTTGACTGTCTGTGAATGTGTTGGTTAATAGCCCCAGTTCTTCACTGATGTCGAGTTAAAGGAGTAGGAATGACAGGAGACCCAGCCTAACAATTATGCAAGGAAGGAGATACCCAGTTGACTGCTGCATAGAGCTGTGGCTTAATGCCCAAGTGATCTTAATGTTGTAAAAAGGGTAACACTGTGTAACTGTGATACCTAGAATTTTATGACAAGTGGAAAAGTCTTTCAGAGGAAAAGTCTCTTTCCTCCAGTTATGGAGTTCTTACCACATTTGTTTCCACAGCTGATATTATGTACACGGGGACAGTTGACTGCTGGAGGAAGATTGCAAAAGACGAAGGAGCTAAGGCTTTCTTCAAAGGTGCCTGGTCCAATGTACTGAGAGGCATGGGTGGGGCTTTTGTATTGGTATTGTATGATGAGATCAAAAAGTATGTCTAATGTAATTAAAACTCAAGTTCACTGATTCACAGTGAACTTATTTCACAAGTTCACAGATCCATTGTGTGGTTTAATAGACTATTCCTAGTGGAAGTAAGAAGATCTGGGATAAAACCAGACCGAAAGGAATACCTCAGAAAAAATGCTTCACTGAGTGTTCATTAAACCACAAATGTATTTTGTATTTATTTTACATTTAAATTCCCACAGCAAATAGAAAATAACTTAATAAACTTAACTGTACGATTAAGAACTGAAAGTGACAAAATAACTGAATGTAAAACATCAATAAAGACCATTTAATGCATGTTCTCTATTTTATTGAGCTCTTATTAACTGCTAAGTGCATTTTTTAAAAAGACCATAAGTGCGTAAATGCATATTTTCTAGCCTGACTCATGTATCAATCAGTGGTCAAGCTTCTAAATGTTAGATATTAGAATGTATATGTATTATTTGGGTAACTGTAATGCTTGAAGTTCTGTTTTTCAATTTAAGCAGGTTATGCACTGTCTTACCACATACAGTGTTGCTGTAGGCTCAAAAGTGGCAACACAGAACCTGGTTTCCATAATCCCAACTTATTTTATGTACTTTCATGCAGTCTTTAGGAATTCTGAAGTTGTGCTCAAAGCTTTAAATCACAGTTGCAAGAATTTTGCATGATTAGGAAGTGCTCTGTTTTAGTCCCTTTAGAAAACTGTGATACCTAGAATTTTATGACAAGTGGACAGTATTCACTGAAAATCAGTTGTTTTAGTTCAGGCCACTGTAACACAGCACCATAGACTGTATGGCTTATAAACAACAGAAACGTGTTTCTTACAGTTCTGTAGGCTGCAAGTTTGAGATCAAGGTGCCAGCATGGTCAGGTTCTGGTGAGGCCCCTCTTCAGGTCTGCAGACTACTATCTTCTCCTTGTATCCTCACATGGTGGAAAGAGGGTGGGAGAGCGCTCTGAGGTC